AATATTTCTCGCATATTAGTCTCAAATTTTGGGCCATTTTCTCAGTCTTCTTGGTGGATTTTTCTAGGCTAGCAATTTTCTCTTCTATGTCTGAGATTCTATTTTCTGTATGATCTAGTCTGCTTTTTAATACTTTCAAGGGAAATTTGACTTCCTGTATTATAGCCTTCATCTCTAACAGTTCCATCTGATTCTTTTGTAAAGTGTGAAATTCCTCTTTTAGATCCTGCATGAATATCCTCACCTCCTGGAACTCGACAACTTCCTTCTCCTTCCTCTTCAGCAGTTCATTGTCTCTCTTCTCTCCCATCTCTGTTAGCTTTGCCATTATGAATGTTCTGAATTCTTTATCAGACATTTCCATGATTTCCATTGAACTGTGTGTGGATGAAGAGGAGTTATCCTTTTCCCTTGGAGGAGAGGTATTTTCCTGCTTTCCCATATTTCTTGTGGTCCTGCAGCGATTTCTAGTCATCTGGTTGATGGTCGGTTTCTTCCCAAACTTGGAAGTTCAATTTGAGCATCCACGTGAGTTTTGTGTGCTGGAGACCGAATTATCAGTGGGAAATCTTGATTTCTGTTTCCCCAAAATGGATAGTTCACAGGATCCATGAAGCTGTGTCTTCAAGAAGGCCTGTTCCCTTTGCCTCTTCTGGGTTGGGAGGGGGAGCCTTTTTTCTTCTTTTATTAGGTTATTTGAATATTATAGGTTTAGAAATGCAGGCTTTGGGTTCAGAATGCCTGGGTTCATTCTTGCTCTTTCATGCTTTCTTTTGACTTCTGCTTCCTCATCTGAGAAATCTACCCATGAGTAATGCTAATCTGCAATGACAACCTTGAGCACTAAGGACACAACTGCCACCAAGTAGATGCTCAGTCGGTGTGAGCTGTTACTAATATGGCTAATTCATTGCTGTCCTCTGCACCTTTATCCTCTTTCATTTCCCCTCCTTCCTCTCTCAAACTATCTCTGCATCCCCACCACTTCATTTCTGTGTCTATCCCTCTCACTGCCTTTGTCTTTGAATATTCTTGTTCTTGGACAACAGCCTTCTACATTTAAATCAGTCCCTTTTTCTGCCATCACTAAGTGTGATATTGTGATATAATAAGGAAGGTAAACTGTATTTTAGTCTTCCTTCCCTGCTCCTGGCCAGAGAGAGCACATAAAACCCTTATAATTTCCTAAGCAACAAAGTTGAAAAAAGTATCTTTTGTTATTCTTTTTTTTTTGTGTGTGTGTGTTTATTGTTCTTCATTGTACTTTCTTTTTTTTAGCATTTTAATTTTTTTATACTTTCAATCACATTATTTAACTTACAAAGTGAACATTTCAGTATGTGAACATTTCTCCCCAATCTAGTTGATCAGAATATCTTCAACAGATAACACCACACCTCCCCATCCCGTCAATGCTCTGTCTCTGTATCCCTCCTCCAAATGTCCTTCCCCAGGCCCTACTCCTCCACTTAAAACTCTCTTTCAACCATATCTGCATTTATGTTAATGAGATAACATTTGGAAAGTCTGTAAGGATGAGGACTGGTTGCTGAGGGGGATTTAAACATGAGGTTTTAGAAGTCTTATTCTGTGACTTTCAGCAAGGGAAGAGAAGATGGGGGTTGACTCAACACCAATGGCCAGTGATTGACTTAATCATACTTATATAGTGAAACTTCCATTAAAACAAAACAAAACAAAACAAAAAACAGCCTAAATGATTGGGTCAGTGAGCATCTGGGTTGGCCAACACATGGAAATGCTGGGTGATGGTGTATGTGGAGAGGGCATGGAAGCTCCTACACATCTTTTCTGTTCGGTCGTTCTTGAGTTGTATTCTTTACATTAATAAGTTGGTGAACGTAAGCAAATGTTTCCCTAAATCCTTTGAGCTTATTAGAAAATTATCCACCCCAAAGAGGGAGCCATAGGAACCTTCAATTTATAGCCACTTGATCAGAAACATGGGTCATAATCTGAGACTTGCACTTGGCATCTGAAGTGAGAGGTGATCTTGTGGGACTAAGCCCTTAACATATGGTGTCTGCACTAACTCTGGGTGGCTGATGTCAGAACTAGATTAAATTACAGGGCAGAGCTGGTGACTACAGAGAACAGGAGAATTTGTTGGTGAAGGGAGAACCCCCACCCACATTTGATGTCAGAAGTGTTCTGAATGTGAAGGTACTAATAAAAGAGGTGGGTTTTCTCTTGTTTATTTTATTTTATTTATTTATTTATTTACCAAGGATCTCTCCTCTTCGAGGTTGAACAAGGGCTTTTTTTTTTAGCCCTTTACGGCTTTATGCTGATCTTTTGCTATAGCGACCTTTCTGAATCACAATCACTTTCTGGTAGTCAGTCTCCTTAAATCTGACTTATTGACACATTATGGTCCTTCATCTTGGCTAGTGGGCCTACAATCTCTTGTCATGGCTACTCCTCCAGGATCTCACATCTGGAACTTATACAAATTCCTCTCCTTTCTTTTCCCATGGCCCTTCTACATTTCTTCCCTGACTCTAAATTTTCAACTGGGAACTCAGGGCCCTTCCCTACCTCATCTCCTTTTCCTGTTGTCAGATAAAAGAGAAAAACAAAAACGAAAACATTTAAAACGGATTTTATCCAATCATGATTACCTTGCTCAAGACTTAGTGGGATGTTATGTCTCTCCTCCGTTTCTTCTCCATCACTGTCTGGTAAACCTAATTTGTTTCTGACCTCTGAAGAAAGGGAGAGAAGAGGCAATAAGAAATTTCAGGGACCATGCCCAGGACATATAAAAACCACACACTTAGAAATATCCAGCCCTTCAGTAGCTTACAGTTCAATGGGTCTCATATGGCAAAGTTTTTCTGTCATCTGCTGGGACAGAAGAGAGAAGACTCCTCTAATTCTCCCATACAGAAAATAGACACTCGAGATTTAAGGATAAAGAAGCAGCAGAAACATTGTGAGCTACTACTCATTTAAAGCAGGTGGCGCAGTGGTTGAGGCACTGGACTCCCACATGGCCGACCACACTTCAAGTCCAAAACTCATGAAACGCTTGAAACTCATGCCAGGTTCATGTGTGTGCATGCCCAAAATCCCACGAAGAGAATGGAGGAGAAGGAATTCTGGCATGGCCACCCTCCTTCTGGGTGATTTCTCACTTTCTCGCTCTGCCTTTCCAGCAAGCACACACACACACCCAATAGCAAAAAAAAAAAAAAATCTCATCCCCCCAAATAAAACAAAACAAAACAAAAACAATAACGTTTTCCAGATGGCTGAAAAAGCACATATCAGTCTCGGTTTGATTTGAAAATCAAACCAGGACCCTGTATGTTCAGACCCCAAATCCCAAGAGAATGGAGGAGAAGGGATTGTGGTGTGGCCATCCACCCTGGCAGGTGACTTCTCACTTTCCCTCTGACTTTGTCTCTCAGGTGAACACACATGCTCTCTGGAAAAAGCCTTAAAGAGAGAAAGAGAGAGAGAGAGAGAAACTAACACCCTCAACATCTTTAAAGATGAGGCTAGAAAAGAGGACAGTGGGACCAGCAGATAGCGTAATGATTATGTCACTGGACTCCCATGTAGACAACTGCGGTTCAAGTTCCAGGCTCTGTGGCTTAAAACTTATGTTGGGCACATGTGTGTGCGTGCCCAAGATCCCAAGAGGAGAATGGGAGAGAAGGGATTGTGGCATTGCCATCCCCCCCAGAGGAGTGAGTTCTCACTTTCTGTCTCTCTGTCTCTGGCGAGCATACACTCCCTATAGCAAAAAATCTCTCAAAAGAGAAAAGAAAGAAAAAGAAAAGAAAAGAAAAAAGAAAAGAAGAAAAGAGAATGCCTTGGGCTTAATTGATTCAGAGAGAATGGGCAGTTCCTAAAGAAATAAAACATGATACAGAGATAGCTCATGTAAACCTCAGAAGACCCTCCCCCCAAGGGCAAGTGGGCCAGCTATCTTGGGCAGGTGGCGAGCCTCTAGTGCAGGGCACCCAAGCACAGGGCATGCTGGAAAATGACATGTTAGATGTGGGTGCTGAGGTTGGGGGTGGTTTCCTGCAGTCTGTGCAGAGGATCAGAGCCCTGAGATGTAGGCAGTGAAGGTAACACTGTTCTCTTCATGCCCACAGTCTGGGACATCCTAAGAACGACTTTTGTGATTCTTTCTTGTCCTATGTTCTACCAAGTAAACCTGATGCAATGTCCTCTGGTTGTCTTGTGAGTCTAAATGCCCAGTTAAGCAGACTTCCCAGTGTGTGAGAATTTATGATAGCCATTCTACCATAAGCTTTGGAAAGGCTGTGACAAGTCTGTGTTGTTAAACACTGTACCTCCACTGTCCATTACAGTATGTGCATATATACATGTTGAGAAAAAAAATAGTCTTGAACAACAAAAGGTAGGTAATAAATCTAGTTACCATTTTCAAAGGTTCTGCGAATGTGAATTAAATCCGGGTATTCTTTCATGTTGATATCACTGAACAATGTCTCCAAAAGTTGCAGATCAAAGTTCTTCTCTAGTTCATTCAGAACATTATATACCACATTTTGAACAGGGACCAGGTGTTTACATGATTCTTGAGAATACTATAAAAATATTGAATGGAGAAAAATATAAATACAGATTGCAGACGACAGAAGGGCCTAGAAAGAAACTTTATGGTTAGTATATTCCAATATCCATACAAAGTTATGTCCTCATGTAAAGTTTAATTTTTTTATATATTTGTATGGCTACTACATGAAACAAGTAAATCCTTCTTCCTTTGAGCGTGCATGCCCAAAAACCCAAGAGAAGAATGGAGGAGAAGGGATTGTGGCATGGCCAATCCCATTGGAGGGTGATTTCTCACTTTCTGTCAGTCTCTCTGGTGAGCACATGTGCCATGTAGCAAAAATCTCTTTTAAAATAAATAAGTAAATAAATACCCATTGATGAGTCTAATTTCCTCTCCCTCCCCCATTTATACTAGATGTAAGAAGGAGCAATTTTTTTTTTGGAGAGGTTTTCGCTATAGGGCGCGTGCGCTCGCCAGACAGACAGAGACATAGAGACAGAAAGCAAGAAATCACCCCCCAGGGGGGATGGTCACGCCGCAATCCCTCCTCCTCCATTCTCCTCTCGGGATCTTGGGCACACATGCACACGCGCCCGGTGTGAGTTTTAAGCCACCGGGTCCGAGACGTGAACCGCGGTCGACTATGTGGGAGTCCAGCGACATAGCCATTACGCTAACTGCTGGTTCCCAAGAAGGAGCAATTTCGAAGGCTACAAGGGGGTTCAAAATTAAATGATGTGGGGACTGCTGTGCGGCATCAGCTGATAATCATCCCTGCGTACCAGAACTGCTTTCCTGAAACTGCATTCCCTGGAGACTCACCTACAATTGTGGATCTGCAGGAGACCCTCCCTTGATCCAACCCTGAATAGAATCTATGTTCCCTATTGGTAAAAACTTTATGAGCTGATAATTGGAACTCGTGGCCCCTCTCCCTTTACTTGCATGTATCACTTTTTCAATAATTCTTCTGGAAGACAACTGTATATAGCAGAGATAGTGTAATGGGAGAGTGGGAAAGGGCAGAGGGACAAACATAGAAAA